ATTGTTGTCAAAAACTTTAGGTTTTGAGTTTTGCCTTTTTTGTTTTGTGTTGTGTATTCTACTACTGACTACGTGGTTCTAAAATACTGGGCCTATCTGTGCTAAAATTCTCATCACATCTAACAAGTTTTGTCACTGCAGAATATTTGTTGGTCAATTCTTGATAAGGACCAGGTAATCTCTATTCTATTTGATCTCCTTGTTGCTTTAATTGGAAATAATAAAGGGCTTTTGTGGCAAAGATTGCAGTTCAAAGCCAGCCCATGCTGAAAAATCCCTAAGACTCCATCTCCCAACTAACCTGCAAAGAGCCAGGTTGGAAGCACGGCTCAAGACTCTTATTTCGAACCAGCAAATACTGCAAGTGGTACTGTAACTCAAAAGTGCTAGCCTTGAGCAGAAGTGCTCAGGGACAGTGCCCAGGCCTTGAGTTCAATCCTCCTTGAATAACAACTGGGACAAGCAATCCCAGCAACAAGCACCTAGACTCAGCCAGTCTGGGGAACAAGGGACCATGGAGCAGAGTAAGAGGAGATGATATCACATCAGCAACTTTGTGCCTGCCCTTTCAAAATTAACCAGAGCCGGAAGTCAATAGAAGTAAGAAGCCTGCCCATCTAGTGTCTATACCTGTCTACCTATTAACTGGACAGGAATTTATTTATTTTTATTTTTTTATTGTGAAAATACTGTACAGAGGGGTTACAATTACATGGGCAAGATAATGATCACATTTCTTATCAAGCATTGTAGCCACCTCCTGTTTCCCCTTCCCATCCCTTCACATCCTCCCCCTCCCCCCACACAGGAATTTATATTCTTGCCTTTGTTACCTGACTTCTCCTCTACCTAGTCACCAGATGTCAGAAGTAGCTAAGGACATTTCTACCAACATTTTCCCACCCCAAGTCCTTCCTCTTGCCATTTATTTGCTCTCTAGTATTTTTCAGCCCCTCAATGCCTCATGAGACTTCTCCAGACTTCATCTATGGACTCACGCCACCAAGGGACTGCTGCTGCTCGCTGCCTTCTCTGGGAGGGGACCAAATTCCAGCCTTTTACCCCGAATGTTGACGCCCCTTGTCATCAGAAAGTAGCCAGAGAGAATCTGTGCCCTATTTCATGATTATTAAAAGGCTGGAATGTAAGGTCCGCTCCTGGATGGCGAGCAGACTCCACCCTCCTCGCAGCAAAGTCTCCACCCAGTACCTGCATTACCTAGGCAACTGGCACACCTGGAAGAGGTCACATCTGCATCGCTGAGGTCACATCTGAATTTGATGTGGCCACACCTTTCCCGGCCCATACCCTAGATAAGGCCTAGCCCAGGCCCTGAGGCTCTTTCTCAGCTCTCTTAGCTCTTTTCCCAGCTCTCTCTTTCTCAGGTCTTTAGGCCTTTCCCAGCTGCGTGGAGTGCCAACCTGGCCTGGTCCCAGCACGTTTACTGAATAAACCTACCCCTTACCTGAAAAAAAAAAAAAATGGAAGCACAAGCCATCAGTGCCCATATATTTTCATATAGTTCCAAAGTAATTTCTACACAGACTAAGTTTTTGTGATCATCTTTTCAATCATTAAAATGGACTTTGAGCCGGGCGCTGGTGGCTCACGCCTGTAATCCTAGCTACTCAGGAGGCTGAGATCTGAGGATCACGGTTCAAAGCCAGCCCGGGCAGGAGAGACCGTGAGACTCCTATCTCCAATAAACCACCAGAAAACCGGAAGTGGCACTGTAGCTCAAGTGGTAGAGCACTCGCCTTGAGCTGAAGAGCTGAGGGACAGCGCCCAGGCCCAGAGTTCAAGCCCCACGACCGACCAAAAAAAAAAAAAATGGACTTTGAAGGAACAGATTATGTGTTTTTTCTTAGAAAAATTAAAATTAAAAAACAAAACCTCCTAGTTAATATCCATAACGACAGAAATATCTGTTTAATGTAAGAAATGCTCACTATATTGAAAATGAACTGTGTAACTTGCATGTGGGACGTGAGAGAGTAAGGGAAGGGGTAACATTGTCCAAAAAGAAATGTACTCTGCCTGACTAACTTATGTAACTATAACCTCTCTGTACCTTTACAATAACAATCTTTTAAAAATTCAAAAAGAATGCTTACTTTGTTAGGTACCACAATTCTTAATGTTATTAGAAGCAAGGAACTTTGCCATGAAAAAAAGATTGTCATCGTCATACAAAGTACAATATGCTGGAATATTCTGAAGGCAAAAGCAGATATTCTATTGTCAGCCCTTCACTATTCTCTGAATACATATGGCTGAGACGAGAATGTCAGTATCAATATAAGTATTATAAAATAATAATTTGTTTTGAAGAAACATAAACTGATATCTTTTTTTCCCCCATACTGTAACAAATAGCCTCAAATATCTTTGATTTTACTGGAAGTTCAATCTTCTTTCTGGCTTAGTCTGGCCTCAATCTCTCTCTTCAGCCTTATGTCCTTTCTCGAGCTCAGCTCCAGCCAAACAGATTTATCCAGTTACCTCAAATTGTATTGTGCTTTCTATATGAGTCCCTCTGTACACTTTATCTTCTGTGAAAAACCTATTCCAACTTCTGTGCTAACACTATTCACTCCTTAAAAACATACACATTTACCTAGCCACTCAGGAAACTGAGATCTGGAGTATTTTGGTTTGAAATCAGCCTGAACAAAAAGTTCATGCAATTCTGTCTCCACTTAACCAGCAAAAACTTGGCTGGTGGCATTTCTCAAGGTTAAAGTGCCATCAGAACAAGCAATCAAACAAGTGAAGGCTCTGAGTTCAAAGTTCAATATCATCACCACCATAAAAAAAAAATCAAACCCACACATTTTAAATCTTACATCTATAAAGTTTTCACATATTAACCAGATTCACCAAGAAAGTTTTAGAAACAGATTTTCTAGTGTTTATTTCAGTGGTTGAATACTGAATAAAATTTACAAGGAAATACTATTAGCAAGATAAAAAAGAAATATGGTAATTCAGAACTCTAAAACTTATAATATGCCATTTTGCTAGTACCACTTCATCACAGTTATAAATAGGGACATATGGAGGGGGAGTTAAAACTTTAACATGACTTAGAATTTGTGTGTGTGTGTGTACTGGGGTGTGAACTTAGAATTTGTGTGTGTGTGTGTGTGTGTGTGTGTGTGTGCTGGGGTGTGAACTCAGGGCCTGGGTGTGGTCCCTTAGCTTTTCTGCTCAAGGCTGGTGCTCTAACATTGGAGCCACACCTCCACTTCCAGATTTTTGTTAGTTTATTGGAGGTAAGACTTTCCTGCCCAGCCTGGCTTTGAAACAAGATCATCAGATCTTAGCCTCCGGGATCGCTAGGATTACAATTGTTCACTTAGTGATTCTATGACCAGCCAGCTACCCAGGCGCTCTTCATTCATCCAGATATGCAACAAAGTGCAAAGTGTTGTCTAAACACAATACATATACAAAAATTATTTTTCTTCTTTCTGTAAGACTAACAGTCAAAATAATAATTATGTGATAAAACATTCTGACAGAAATATGTCGTGAAAGCCTAGAACAGAAGTGCTGAAATGGAGGGGGGAGGTGTACATGCAGCTGTAAGATTATTGTTCACAGAAAGCTTCCCAAGTTTGACAGCTAAATTGGGTAAAACTGTGTGCCACTGGAAGCCTGAAAAGAAATGTCTCAAATGCACTCGTATTGTAAAAGTAAACATAGGCTACTTGTGGGAAAAGTAGTGATGGTGATGAAGGAATCAGAGGTTCAACGAACATGGACGGTGTCAAATTGAAATAGCAAATTAAATTTACATTTGAGTTGTATTACTGTCTTGTTAGCAACCCTATAAAAAAGACCTTGGGAGTGGAAATCATAGATTTTACATCATGTCACTATATATGGGCATATATAATATAGAGAGAGAATCTTTACTAATCAAGGAAGAGAAATATTGTTCCAGCTTCACTTACAATTTACACCGCATCGACATTCAAGATGACAAGGTCTTTATTTCTTAGGCCCATTCCTGCCTTAAAGCCTTTGCACACGTTCTTTCACTCAGAATGATCTACTCAAACAAGACGGCCCCCTGACATTTAAGTATCACATAATTCCTAAGTGGCAAGCATGTTAATGGGTGAATATACCAGTCATTATTTTCACTTGACCCATTGCTTCCTCAAATTTTCCACAAGAGTTAAGGAAATAAGAAACCCAACAACAACAGATGGCTTTAAATTCCATCTTTGTCTCTTCCCACAGGTACAAGTGGGTCATCTGCAGTAGCACAGGGATCCGACCAGCAGGAAAGTTTGTTTAAAGCTCATTGAAGTTCGTTTGGCTCATTTAAACCGCGCTGTTGAACAGCTGTAACGCAAGACCACCGGCCATTAAGTGGGAGACCGAACCATCCTTCCCAGGTAACTATTTCCCAAGGGCCATTGGCTGCTCAGTTCCGCGACTTGGCTGTGAACACAACGTCGCCTCGGCGGGACCCCACGGGGCCAGCCCGCAGCGGCGGCGCCGACCTCTCCCCGGCCCCTTCACTCCTTCCTCCGGACCAACGTGTCTCACCTCTCTGTAAGTCCAACTTGGTTTCGCGGACGTAATTGTCCGGGTTCCGGCTCAGCATCTTCACCTTCATTTTGGCGCCTCAGGCCCACCGGGACCCCACGGGCCTTCTTCCCAGGACTGACACCACCCCAGCACGCTCCACTTCCGCCTCGCGCCGGGTACTTCCGGTCACGTGACGCCGGCGCGTGTAAAGCCGGCCGGCGCGGCGGGACCCGCGGCGCGCTCCGTAGTTGCTCCGCGAAGGCTGGCTGAGGGCGGTCCTTCTGCTTTGGGCTCCGTGGGTGCCGGTGGCAGCGGTAGGCGAGGCTGGGCGGGGACTGGGCGGACCCCTTCGGCCGGCTTCCACCGCTCCGACACTGGCGTGACCTGCGGTTGGGCCCGCACACCCCTTCGCGCCCGAGTGGTTCCCGCTGGGCGGCTGGTGTTCTGGACCGTCCCGGAAGTGGGCTCGGGCCCGGGGTTCCCGCTCTCGGCTGAGGACCGTCGCCACGGTGGCGGCCACTGCATCTCCTCCCACCTCCGCGGCGCTGGGCGCCGTGGTGTCGACGGGTCCCGAACCTATGCCCGGCCAGAGCCAGCCGGCGGCCGGGTCGTCGGCCTGGAGCACGGTATTCCGCCACGTCCGGTACGAGAACCTGGTAGCTGGCGTGAGCGGCGGGGTCCTGTCCAACCTGGCGCTGCATCCGCTCGACCTCGTGAAGATCCGCTTCGCGGGTAAGTGTGCACCGCACACCGACACGCTTTCCCTCGCTGTCAGCCCGATCCCGGTGCTAACTCCCGAGGGAGGCCGTGGTCTCCCGCGCCTCCACCGTGCACTGGGGAGGAGGGCCTGCAAAAGGATGCCTGCTGCCCCGCCTCGTCCAACTCTGTGCAACTCTGTGTAGGAGTGGGTCTGGCAAAGGGGCTTGGTCCCTGTGTGCCCTGCTCCCCAAGACTAAGAGTGGAGTAAAGTATGGGAAGAGATTGTCACAGTTGCTTCGCATACTTGTAGTTCATTCAAATCTTAAAGGCTGCCACGTGGTTTGCCAGCATAAACTGGAAGGAAAGTTCAAGTGCTTGGGAGAGAGCCCAGTCCTAAGTAGGAGGTTAGGTTTGGGTAGAATTTTCTTGAAGATTTCTTTCGGCTTGATCGTATACAGTGTGATCCAATATCCTGTAAAGGAAGAGTTAGACTGAAAATTATTTTAAGTCTATTGAAATTAGAGTGCTTTAGAAGTTCATGTCAATGACACAATCTGAAAATGATAGCTTCAATTATGATTTTTTTTTTTTTTTGGTAACTTCATTTGGAAACTATTTTCTGCCTGGAGAGTTAAATGTGTAGAAGTGGTTTATCGTAGAGTAATTCTGTGTAGTTTTGTTCAGTTCACTTGATATGTCTAATCTGGTACTGCTGTGTACGATTACAGAAGTTATTGCCTTGGGAAACTTAGTCTAATTGTAGGTTTGAGACTTACACAAAAGATAATTCTAGACAACATACTATTAAAGGCATAGTAGAATAAATCCAAATACAAAGTAGGTATACAAATAGTCTCAAGAAAATTATAGATTACCTATGGCTGTATGGATCCATACCGGTTCCATAGAAAACTGGGTCTTGAGTTTCTTCATGTAGTGAATATGTTTACAATCAGGAAGACATCCTCTATATGGGGAATTAGACAGAAATTATGGGTATTAATCTAGAAAAGACACCACAAATGCACATAATTTTATGATGCTTATGCATGTGCAGATTAATTATGATCGTTGACCAGTAAACTTCATTGACCTTTTACTCGGAGAAACACTATGCAAACCAAGAGCTCTAGATGTATTATTTTATTCATTGTCCTGTGAATTGATTAGCCCTTGTTCAGATAAGGATTAATAGAGATGATTGTGTTGCCCAAATCACAAGATTGTGAAGATGCATCTGGAATTGAAACCTATGCACCTTAACTTTGAACCCTTTAGCAGTTAACTACTCTGCAAATCCCTGGTATTTAGTGGCTTCAACATGAATAAAGAATTTTGAACCCCGCTGCAGATGAGGACTTGTTTCTTTGAATCTCTCTTCTGCGGCAGTGTCTAGCAACAAAAGTAGAGGCAGTTGAATGATCATTGAGGAATAGTGTGGTTAGCCTAGTGAATTTCAGATGGCACTAGGAAGTAGACTGTGCATGCAGGACTTGGTAATAATAAAGCCCAATGTAGCTGAAATGGTGATAGAAAAAGAGAACTCTTAGGAAGACAAATATTGAAAATAAAGATAATTGAGTGGTCATTAGCAGCAATGCCGAGTAACCTATTGTAGTTTTAATGCTTTCATATCATTAACCTCATTTAATAAAATTAGTAGCTAGTTATGGGGGAGGGGATAGTTTTGACTATATGTGCTGTGAAAGCTAACCTAGAATCTTTCAAGTCAAGTAAATTGGAACTCAGGGTGTTCAGAGTTACAGAAACATTACAGATCACTTCATAGGAAGAGACTAGAAAACTAGAGGACCCAGTTTAGCTTGGAGAGAGAAAAAAATACTTATGATATTTGTTGAACTTCCATGTCATGAAAGAGAGCTGCCTCATTGTTGGTTGTTCCTAAGGCCAGTCCTAGGTTGAAAGGAAATTACAGGGAAGCAGAATTAGAAGTGGCAAAAAAAAAAAAAAAAAAGTTGGTGGTGCTATGAAATGAAACTCACTATGACTTAAGTGTGTGAAACAGGTTAGATGATAAAAATTAGAAGATACACTTATGTTGGGTGGAAAAGTAGCATTAGATGATGATTCCCATTATAACTGTATAATCTTTTTTAGTTATGGTATTTCTGTTTAAACTCAAGGCCTCAAACTAGCTAGGCAGTTTCTTTACTACTTGAGCCAAACCTCCAGCTGTGTGATGTACTTCTAAATCCTCAAGAATAAGAGAGAGCCCAGGGGCTGGGAAGGTGGCTTAGTGGTAGAGTGCTTGCCTTGCATGCATGAGGCCCTGGGTTCAATTCCTCAGCACCACATAAGCAAAAAGAAAAAAGCCGGAAGTGGTGCTGTGGCTCAAGTGGTAGAATGCTAGCCTTGAGCTGAAGAGCTGTGGGACAGCGCCCAAGCCCAGAGTTCAGGCCCCATGACTGGATTCCCCCCCCCCCCCAAAAAAAGAGAGCCCAATGAAGAAGAATGAAAAATAAACATAATAGAAATAATAATTTCATAAAATAACCCAAAAGCCCAGTAATGCATAAGTTAAAAGTGTGTGAGTGGTTTTTGTGAAGAATGTAGAAAGAATATGGCTGTCTGTAATATTAAGGATGGAACCAAAATGTAGAGTCCAGAAACAAGATTAGCACATAACATTTTCTATTTATCTAATGATATAAATAATACTTACTGAGTGCTTGCATTATTCCAGGCATGATTCTAAGGAAGTTGCATGTATCAATTCAGTTTATCCTTTGTAATTTCTTTTTGTGGCTATGCTGGGGTTTGAACTCATGGTCTTGTATTTGCTAGGCTGGCACTCTTTCACTTAAGACATGCCTCTGGCCATTTGTAATTCTTATGGTTAGATTCTGTTACCTTGCCCCACTTTTGGATGTGGAAACTCAGGCGCAAAGTAATCAAACACTACTCAGAGCCACACAGTTTTGTTGTTGGATAATTTGGTATAGTCAAAAGGAAAATTCAAATGTTAGAAATGAAGATGTAAAAAAAAAAAAAGAAGAAAGAAATGAAGATGTATTTGCACAAGCTGTCTAGGAGTATAACTCCTAAAAACAAACTAATCATTCTTACCTATTACTCAGATATTTAATACTCAAGGATTAAGTAACTTCCCAAAACAATAAAGGAAGCATTGATTTTTACCTGTAAAAAAGTAAAAGTGTATCTTTGTGGTATGTTTTGTCTTATCTCAAAGAGAAATTTCATTGTGAGCTTATTATTGAAGAAAAATGGAAGGATACTTGGAAGAAGACCTTTGTACAAATTGGAGACACAAATCTGAAGGAAGCATCATAAAGATTATAAAGTACATGGCAAAACATTACTCAACAGCCACTCTATTATCTGCTTTTTTGTATAAGCAAAATCTGTGAAGTACATATTTATACTCCTATAATGACGATGCTGAAGCTCAGAAAGATTGAGTAATTAATAATAAGAAATTAGATATCAAACCCAGTCTTCTGTACTTTACTCATTTCATAATGTAACATTGACAGGTTACTCATTAAAGAAACTGACATTTCCCCCTTTGCCTGGCAGTGGTAAACAGTGATTTTTTATTTTTTATTTTTTTTGCCAGACTCCATAAGACACAGTAGAGCCAAAAGGACATGATATGCCAGGTTTATCATCTAGACAACATTACAAGATTATATTTACAAGATTGGCAAGAAGAACACTTTAAAATGCCACAACTAGTTGGAAACTAATGCTGTCTTAAAGTAGGATGATAGCAGCAATGTTAACTGAGAGAGATGAACAGATCTAAGAGAGATTTCTTCAAACTAAGCAAGATTAAAGGCCTTACTAACTGATAAAAGGGATAGGAAAGAAAGAGTCATGGATGGCCCATGTATGTAACATAAGCACCTATGTAGATAAAAGTAGCACTTGCTGAGCTATACAGAACACTGGAAGAATAAGAACAACTTTGGAAAGGATGGGAAAAAAAACTAGTCCAGTTTTACATATGCTCAAGTGAAATACTTCTGTTATGGTTTTGATTTGTGTTAGTAGAGAAGGTACAAATTCAGAAAAAAATATTTAGTCCATCCTCTACAGATCTTGCTAGCATTCTTGACATAATTGAAGTACCCAGCTAGATTTTTTGGGGGGTGGGGGGGAGGAGGGGTCATGGGACTTGAACTCTGAGCCTGGACACTGTCCCTGAGCTCTTCAGCTCAAGGCAATCACTCTACCTCTTAAGCCACAGAACCACTTCCAGTTTTCTGGTACTTAATTGGAAATAAGAGTCTCATGGACTTTCCTGCCCCGGGCTGGCTTTGAACCCTAATCCTCAGATCTCAGCCTCCTGAGTAGCTAGGATTACAGGGGTGAGCCACCGGTGCCCAGCAAGATTATTTTTTTAGCAACACTTTTTAATGTCTGAGTTCCAATCATAAATATTTGCAGCAAAAACAATACTTATGGCCATTTTTTGGTTCTGGGCTTAAACATAGTGCCTTGCACCTGCTAGGCACTACCATTAAGCTATATTGCTAGCCTAATACCTGTGTTTTTATGTGATTCTGAACTAGAATTTTTTTCTCACCTAATTTTGTGTATCCTTTAATGCAGTGAGTGATGGACTGGAACTGAGACCAAAATATAAAGGAATCTTACACTGCTTGACTACCATTTGGAAAGTCGATGGACTTCGGGGACTTTATCAAGGAGTAGCCCCAAATGTGTGGGGTGCAGGCTTGTCCTGGGGGCTCTACTTTTTCTTGTGAGTAAATCTGGAAGATTTTATAGTATTAAAACTAAACGAATTCTTGGTTTGTTTGTTTTAACAAACAAAGGTGAGTCATTTCATTAGTTTCTCTGTATTAGAAGGGTCAGGAAGCAAAATGGCTTGTTAATTTCCTTGTCAGCCAGCTATTGTTAGCTGAGTCATTTAGTCTGAAAGGGTTTGTAATAGGAAAAAATGTAAACAGGTAAGATGGAGAAATACTCTTACTCATTTCTTTGAAGTAAATTCAGGAAGGTAAAACGTTTTTTTAACTGTATTACTTTTGTAAATACATTAGAAGAAAGGTTTTAGTCAAATCTGGAAATGGCTAACTGTAGATTCACAATGAAGTTGTAAAGTCTCTTCAAAATTCTTGAGGTTTTTGTGTTGTATTACTTACTTTTGAGTATTTCTTTTTTTTTTTTTTTTTTTTTTTTTTTTTTTTTTTTTTTTTTTTATTGTAAAGCTACTATACAGAGGGTCACAGTTACATGAGTGAGGTTATGAGTACACTTCCTCTTGAACATTGTTACCCCCTCCATTGTTTTCCCCCTACCATCCCCTCCCTCCCTCCCTTCCCCGAGGTTCTTTTTTTTTTTTTTTTTTGATTGTGATTAAATGATTACATAATTTCAAAGTCACAAGTTCATTCTAACTTCCCTGGAGCAAATTGTCTACCACAGTCTGTAATATATAACAGTGTTCACATGTTATATACCATATTTGTGATCAGCAGCATGAGGATATTTAGTAGTGGTTCAACCAGATGAGCGGGAGTTCTTTGTTTCTTAAGTCCTGTTAGTTTTGTCGTATCACTAACCTTTTGGATTTAGCATCCACTTATGAGGGAGACCATGTACCGTTTGTCTCTTCGTTCTTGGCTTACCTCGCTCAACATGATTCCTTCTAGCTCCATCCATTTCCCTGCAAATGCCATTATTTTGTCATTTCTAATGGCTGCATAATATTCCATTGTGTATAGATACCACAATTTTTGGATCCATTCATCTGTGGTGGGGCACCTAGGTTGTTTCCATATCCTAGCTATTGCGAACAGTGCTGCAATAAACATGGAGGTGCACGTGTCCTTGTATATTGGTTCCTGTTGTTCAGGGTAGATGCCTAGAAGTGGTATGACTGGGTCGTAAGGGAGGTCAATCTTTAGCTTTCTAAGGACCCTCCAGACTGCTTTCCAAAGTGGTTGTATAAGTGTACATTCCCACCAGCAGTGTAATAGGGTTCCTCTTTCTCCACATCCCCTCCAGCATTTGTCGTTGGCTGATTTGTGGATGTGGGACATTCTGACTGGGGTAAGGTGGTATCTCAGGGTTGTCTTTATTTGCATTTCCTTCACCACCAGGGATGATGAACATTTCCTCATGTGTTTCTTTGCCATTTTTATTTCTTCATTTGAGAAGTCCCTCTTTAGTTCCCTTGCCCATTTAGTAATTGGTTTGTTAGGTTTGGGAGGGATTAGTTTCTTGAGTTCCCTGTATATACAGGATGTTAACCCCTTGTCTGATATATTGCTGGTAAATATTTTTTCCCAATTAGTTGGTTGTCTTTCTAGCTTAGTTGCGATAGATTTAGCTGTGCAGAAGCTTTTTATTTTAAGGTAGTCCCATTTGTCGAGTCTCTCTCCAACTTGTTGTGACCCTGGGACTCTGTTCAGGAAGTTCCTTCCTGTGCCTATTAGTTCAAGTGTCTCTCCTACTCTGTCCTGCAGTAGTTTCAGAGATTCAGGTTTAATGTTAAGGTCTTTAATCCATTTTGAGTTGATGTTGGTGCATGGTGATAGGCTGGGGTCCACTTTTAGTTTTCTGCATGTGGCTGCCCAGTTTTCCCAGCACCAGCGGTTGAAGAGGCTGTGTTTCTTCCATTGTATGTCTTTGGCTCCTTTGTCGAATATCAGCTGGCTGTAGGCCTGTGGATTTATATCTGGATCTTCTATTCTGTTCCATTGGTCTTCGGGTCTGTTTTTGTGCCAGTACCATGCTGTCTTTGTGATTATAGCTCTGTAGTAGAGTTTGAAGTTCGGCATGGATAGCCCTCCCATATTGTCTTTATCCCCTAGAATTGTTTTGGCTATTCTAGGTCTTTTGTTGTTCCATATAAATTTTTGGACTGTTTTCTGTATTTCAGTGATGTACGTCATTGGGATTTTAATAGGAATTGCATTGAATTTGTATATTAATTTTGGAAGTATCACCATCTTTACTATATTAAGTCGGCCTATCCAGGAGCATGGGAGGTCTTTCCATTTCCTAGTGTCTTCTGCAATTTCTTTCTTTAACTTTTTATAGTTCTCATTAAATAGTTCTTTTACATCTTTGGTTAGGTTAATTCCTAAATATTTTATTTTTTGGGAGGTTATTGTGAATGGGGTTGCTCCCTTTATTTCCCTCTCTTCCTGTGCGTTATCAGTGTATAGGAAGGCAACTGATTTTTGTGGGTTTATTTTGTATCCTGCTATTTTGCCGAAGTGACTTATGATTTCTAAAAGTTTGGGGATGGAGTTTTTGGGATCGTGGAGGTATAGTATCATGTCGTCTGCAAAAAGGGATAGTTTCACTTCTTCTTTCCCTATGCGGATCCCTTTAATGTCTTTTTCTTGCCTTATTGCCCTGGCTAAGGGTTCTAGGACTATGTTGAAGAGGAGTGGAGACAGTGGACATCCTTGCCTTGTTCCTGTTTTTAGGAGGATTGGTTGTAGCTTTTCCCCATTAAGTATAATATTGGCTATTGGTCTGTCATAAATGGCTTTTATTGTTTTTAGAAATGTTCCTTCTATTCCTATTTTCTCCAGAGCTTTTAGCATGAATGAATGTTGAATTTTATCAAAGGCCTTTTCTGCATCTGTGGCGATAATCATGTGATTCTTGACCTTGGCTCTGTTGATATGCTGGATTACATTTATTGACTTACGTATGTTAAACCATCCCTGTGTCTCTGGGATGAAGCCTACCTGATCATAGTGTATTATTTTTTTTATGTGTTTCTGGATTCTGTTAGCTAGAATCTTGTTAAGGATCTTTGCATCTGTGTTCATCAAGGAGATTGGCCTGTAATTCTCCTTTTTGGTTGGGTCTTTGCCTGGTTTGGGGATGAGTGTGATATTGGCTTCGTAGAATGAGTTTGGGATAGCTCCCTCCTTCTCTGTTTCTCTGAAGAGCTTGAGGAGTATGGGTATTAGTTCTTCTTTAAAGGTCTTATAGAATTCTGCTGTGAATCCATCTGGTCCTGGGCTTTTTTTTGTTGGAAGACTTTTGATAGCTTCCTGTATCTCATTATAGGATATTGGCTTATTTAATTGGTTAACTTCTTCTTTGCTCAGTTTGGGTAACTTGTATTTCTCTAAAAATGCATCCATTTCCGCCAGATTTTCTTCCTTTAGAGAGTATAGCTTTTGAAAGTAGTCTGTTAGAATTGTTTGGATATCTTGGGTACGTGTTGTGATGTTTCCCGTGGCATCCCTAATCCTATTAATATGGGTTTCCTCTCTTCTTTTTTTAATTAATCTTGCCAACGGGCCATCAATTTTGTTTATTTTTTCAAAGAACCAGCTTTTTGTTTGGTTTATTTTGGTTATGGTTTTCTGATTTTCTAATTGGTTAATCTCTGCTCTCAATTTGGTTATCTGGCTTCGTCTAGTAGCTTTAGGTCCCATTTTTTCTTGTTTTTCTAGCTGTTTTAGTTGCAACATGAGATTATTTACTTGGTCTGTCTCCATTCTCTTGATGTGGGCACTGAGGGCAATAAATTTGCCCCTCAGGACTGCTTTTGCTGTGTCCCACAAGTTTCTTTGTGAGGTGTTTTCATTTTCATTGAGTTCTAGGAAATGCTTTATTTCTTCTCTGATCTCTTCTGTTACCCAGGCCTTGTTAAGGAGTGTGCTGTTCAATTTCCATGTATTAGAGAAATTTCTGCGGTATGCTTTGTTATTGAGAGCTAGCTTGATTCCACTGTGGTCAGATAGGATACAGGGGATTATGTCGATCCCTTTGTATTTGCTTAAGTTCCTTGAATGAACTATGATATGGTCTATTTTGGAGAAAGTTCCATGAGCTGCTGAGAAGAATGTGTACTGTGTTGTTTTAGGGTGAAATACTCGGTAGATGTCAGTTAATTCCGCTTGAAGTATGGCCTCACTTAATTCGGTAGCTTCTTTGCCAATCCTCTGGTTGGTAGACCTGTCCTTTGGTGAGAGTGGCGTGTTAAAGTCTCCTAGTATTATCGTATTGGGATCTATTTTATTCTGTAAGTTTGAGAGCATTTGTTTAACATATCTGGGTGCACCGATATTTGGGGCATATAAGTTGATGATGGTTATATCCTCCTCTTGGATTGTTCCCTTTATTAATATGTAATGTCCGTCCTTGTCTTTCTGTACTGATTTTAATGAAAAGTTTATTTTGTCAGATATCAGGATAGCTACACCTGCTTTCTTATTGGGGGAATTTGATTGGTAGATCCTTTTCCACCCCTTCACTCTGAGTTTGTTTGTATGTTTGGCTGAGAGGTGGGTCTCCTGAAGGCAACAGATGGATGGGTCTTGTTTTCTGATCCAGTCCTCAGTTCGTTTTCTTTTAATTGGCGAATTCAGCCCATTTATATTAAGAGAAAGTATAGAGAGATGCATTGTTGTCCCTGCCATTCCGTTTTCCTAAGTTTTTCTTCTTTCCTTTCCTCCTGTGCTTGCTCAGTTAGACTTTGAGTAATGCCTGTTTGGGGCAGGTCCCAGTTCCTGGTTGCTTTCTTCAGGTTGTGTCCCCCCTCTTAGAATTCTTTGTAATGCTGGCTTAATGTTTATGTATTCATTTAGTTTTTCTTTGCTATTAAAAGTTTTCAGTTCTCCATCGAATGTGAATGCTAGCTTTGCCGGGTATATCAGTCTGGGTTGGCAGTTATTGGCTCTCAGGGCTCGTATGGTGCTTTCCCAGGCTTTTCTTGCATTCATTGTTTGTGTGGAGAGATCTGCAGTGATTCTAATTTTTTTCCCGTTGTAGTATAGCTCCTTCTTCATTTTTGCTGCATGCAGGATTGTTTCCTTATTATTCAGATCCATCATTGTTACTATTATGTGCCTAGAAGTGTTTCTCCTGGGATCTTGCTTGTTGGGTGTTCGATAAGCTTTTGTGATGTAGTTAAGATGGTCGTTTTTGAGGTGGGGAAAATTTTCATTGACTATCTTGTTAAATAGGTGTTGCATTCCCTTGCTCTGGAATTCCTCACCTTCGTCCACTCCGATTATGCGAAGGTTAAATTTTTTAGCATTATCTGCTTGCTCTTGAATTTCCCTTTGTTTTAATTTGAGTGATTTTTCCATATCTGTCACTTTTTGGTCCAGTTGGTGTATTCTGTCTTCTGTATCTGACACTCTACCTTCCATTTCATTCACTCTGTTGACCGTGGCTTCTATTGTGGTTTGCATGATGGAAATGGATCCCTTTATGGATTCAATGTTGGTTCTCAGAGTACTGATCTCACCTCTCAATGAGGTGATATCAGTATGCATTACCTCTAATTTGGCGTTTATCTCACTTCTTACTGAGGTTTGTGCAGCTTCTATTTTTGCATCCAATTTTTGTTTGATATCCTGTATATCTTTTGATAGTTCATCCTTGTGCTCTTTCAATTTCTGATCCATTTCTCGCTTTATTTCTTGAGTCATTGCCTCCAGCAACCCTTGGATGTAGTTTTTGTCTTCCATTCCTGCTTTGCTCCCACTGGGGCTCTCCCCTGCGTGGCTGCTGGCTTTTGAGGTGAGCTTGCTGTCCTGGGTAGTGGTAAACCTTGTGATTTTTCTCTGTGATTTTCGCATGGGGGTTCAGGAGACTGCTCTTCAATCTTGTTTTGGTGTGTCTGTCTTTGCTTGGTTGCTGATTCTCTATTGGTAGAGAGAGTCTGTGTCTGATCTGGATTCTGTTGGGAGCCTATTTCCAGCTGCTATTCACTTAGGATTCTCAGCTCTCTGCTGTAGCAATTCCCGCCTTTGGAAGGGTTGAGCAGCCTAGACTGCTTGTGTTTGCTCCTGCGGGTGCTCTTGGGAAGATCAGATGCTCTGGATGCACTCTCCCAAATACTGGAGTCTGCTATGGGCTCCTGATGTGTTTTTGTTTGTTTTGGGCTGGTTGTGGGCTTGAACTCTAGGTTTGGGTGCTGTCCCTCAGCTCTTCAGCTCAGGGCTGGCACCCTACCATTTGAGCCACAGCCCCACTTCTGACCCTTTTTGCTTTGTTCAGGCGCCGGTCCCCTGGCCTGGTTCCGGCCCCAGCCTGGAGCGCGCTCGTTAGGCCTGTGCTAATGTGTATACCACCTTGGTTATGCAGCCTGGAGGACACAGTTCAAATTTCTTCTACTGTTGGTAGTCTTGACCCAGGGGCACTGTTCCTGGCTTGAGCATTTAAGCTCCCTTCCCGGGGCGCTCTTGCTCTGGCCTGGCCAGCAGAGTGTGCTCCACCGGCTGGTGGGGCTCTCGAACAGTTCCCAGTTTTAGTGGGTCCTGTGGTCCGGGTGTTGGGGTAGGGAGTCTAGGTCAGGGTCTGGGGATTCCCTCCAGCTCTGGTCTCCCTTGATGGATTCCCTGTCCCCTGATGGGTACTCACCCTGTAGGTCGTCAGTTGTTGTTGCAGTCCGTCAGTTGTTGTTGCAGTCCGAGTTCAGTTGGGGTGGTTGCGGGCTGGGTTGGGCGGCCCCCCGCCGGGTCGTTGCGATCGCGACAGGTCCCTTTGTGGCGCTGCTGGTGCCGGGCGGCTTTGGCGGGATGGAGCCTCTCCGCTCCGGTGGAGAGTGATGGGTGGGGTGGGATCCTCCTGGAGACTCCCGGCTAGTAGGTTTCTCTGTTCCTGGCGATCCGCTGTTCTGCAATCCGGTACCTGGTGATCTGCAAGCAGCCCCCTGTGTCTCTGTGGCTCCGGCAGCCCCTGCCGGGCCGGCTGGCCGGCGGCTTGGCGCACTGCCGCGCGGCCAGTAAAGGTTGGGGGAGGGGTCTTCGCTCTTCTCTGTTCTGAAATTCTTCTTTTCCTCTCTTTCTTTTTTTGTTATTTTCCACCTCTGGTTTTTCTCTGAGTGTTCGTCTTTTTGTTGTTGTCGGTCTCTTGGGGAGATTAAAGGTTGGAACTCGAACTCTCTTTTTGGTTGGAGAGAGCTGTGGCGTTTCCCTACTGCCCCGTCGCCATCTTGAGCCCTCCCTCCACTTTTGAGTATTTCTAATGGCCAAAATAGACTATAAAAATTTGAATGAGCCAGTTTGTTTGTTTTGTTTTATCAGTCGTGGCTTGAACTCTGGGCTTGTGTGCTGTCCCTGCACTCTTCTTTTTTTTTTTTGTTTTTGTTTTTATTGGGTCCGGTTGTGGGGCCTGAACTCTGGGCCTGGGCACTGTCCCTCAGCTCTTCAGCTCAAGGCTAGCGCTCTACCACTCGAGCCACAGCGCCACTTCCGGCTTTTTTTCTTTTTGCTTATGTGGTGCTGAGGAATCGAACCCAGGGCCTCAGGCATGCAAGGCAAGCGCTCTACCACTGAGCCACTTTCCCAGCCCCTGTCCCTGTACTCTTCAACTCAAGGCAAGCGCTCTACCGCTTGAGCCACAGCGCCACTTCCACCAGTTTGTTTTTTCTTAGTAATTTTGTAAACTGTTGTAAGAACCTGAAACTATTTTCTAAGATGAATCCTATGAATTCCATTCCTCTTTGGAAGGTCACTCAAATAAATTATTTTCTCCTTTTATAAGAAATTCCTTCTAGGGGCTGGGAAGGTGGCTCAGTGGTAGAGCGCTTGCCTTGCATGCATGAGGCCCTGGGTTCGATTCCTCAGCACCACATAAGCAAAAAGAAAAAAGCCCGAAAGTGGCGCTGTGGCTCAAGTGGTAGAGTGCTAGCCTTGAGCTGAAGAGCTGAGGGACAGTGCCCAGGCCCAGAGTTCAGGCCCCACGACCGGACCCCCCCCCCCCCACCAAAAAAAAGAAAGAGATTCCTTCTAGAGCATCTCAAAATAGAAAATCTTATAAATACCATAACATTATGACAATTACTTATTCATCCTTAATCAGAGTCTCAGAATATTCAAAAAAGCTTACTATTTGTGAGGAGGGTCATAATTCTACAGTAAACAATTTCCAGCATATTTATTCTTAAATAAAGTCTTATTTTTCAGTTTCATTATACATTGACTATTACTTTAGGAATAGTGTTACTAAGTTGTACTCTAAGACAGACATCTGCTTTATGAAACCAGATCAAGTTAAAATGCTATGTTTAATTTTCTTTCAGTTATAATGCCATCAAATCATATAAGACAGAAGGAAGAACTGAAGGATTAGAGGCAACAGAATATCTCATCTCGGCTGCTGAGGCTGGTGAGGCAACGTGTGAAATATAAAACTTGATTTTTTTCCCTGTTTTTTTGAGGCAGGGTCTCACTGTGTGTCTCAGCTTGGCCTATAACTCCATGGCCAACGTTGGCGTCAAACCCAGCCTACCACCTCGCCTTCAAATACAGCTTTTATTTTATTTGCTGTCCCCTCCCCCCCCTTTTTTTTTTTTAATTTAATTTTATTTTATTTGTGAACATACTGTACAGAGGGGTTACAATTACATGGGCAGGATAATGCGTACATTTCTTACCAAGCATTGCAGCCTCCTCCTTTGGTTTACCCTTCACATCCCTTCCCAGCCTCCCCCCCAATCCCAATCCTTCTTCCCCTCCCCCCTTTTAACACTAGAGTTTAAATGTGCTCTTCTGTTTATATATTAATCATTACTACATGAAATTTCTTATTAATATTAATTTCTAATTATTAATAAACAAGTGTTATTGATAACTCCAGATAGGCTAATATTTTAAATTTATTACTAAACATAGTAAGGTTTAGAAATGTTATGAATCTCAGTAGATTAAGGTGATTTTGTACAATGTTTCAGTAAAGTATAATTTCAGTTTTCAAATACAGTTTACTAGCCTTGTTTCTTTGTCTTGTGTATGTATACTATCCAGAAGGCAAAATAAAGTAAGACCCTAAGTCTTTATAAATTTTATTTTGATATTCTTGGTTTTGCTCTTTTTATTTTTAAGGTAAGGGATAGCTTACTGACTTTAATAACTGGCTACTAGAGACCTAAATAATAATAGCCTCAATATTTATTGAATAAAAGGCTCTTTAGGAAACTCTGAAAGTGAAATCTGTACTAAATAAAAATTTTTTACAGAATTGACGCTCTCTGTAAAGAATATAAAATATAACTGACTACATGGTTAGTTTTTGAGGTACAGAGACTACTTTGAATGGACTTGAGGAAGGCTGATAGAGTTGGGGTGGACATATGTGTACCCATGCATAGATTCCTGAGGTGCCAGATCCTGGTTCTCTCCCCCTAGTCCTCAGTCCATCTAGTTGATGCTATGTCTGATTCCTAAGGTCTAGATCACCTTCCCATTCAGGTTCTACAGTAGGCCTCAGTGTTGAAGAATAAGGACATCTTTACTATTCACATTTTTTTTTATAGCCACCAAAAACTGTCTATTTTTGATCCTAAGACTCTGCTTCCAGCCACATCTCACCATTTCAGATACAACTCCTTTGTACTCTGATACTTTGTGTGATGGACTGTGCTTAATGCTAAGTAGTCTGCTTTTTAATCTGATTTTAGGAGCCATGACCCTCTGCATTACAAACCCATTGTGGGTGACAAAAACTCGCCTTATGTTACAGTATGAAGGTATTGTTAATACCTCACCACGACACTACAAAGGAATGTTTGACGCACTTGTGAAAATATATAAGAATGAAGGTGTGCGTGGATTGTATAAGGTAACGAATTACTATTAATGTATTTCAGATAACTGTAGACTGTATTTGCGTTAGCTCTTGTTTTTGTCTCGCTTTGTTTTTCAGACATTGTCTCACTATGAAGTTCAGACTGAACTTGAGCTCATAGTTCTTCTTGGACTCCCAAGTTCTAGGAGTAGACTTGTGCCATATCTGGCTTTTTTACTTTTTGCACATTGGCTCTTTTGTCTTGCTTTTGAATTACTATGTTTAGGCCTAAAAAAGAAGCCAACCTTGTGCAAAGGCCTAAAAAAGAAGCCAACCTTGTGCAAGAAATAATAAAAATGGAGATCTAGTTTATAATATTGAAATTGGTGTATGCTCATTACCATAAAATGTATCTTTAGCTGGGCACCGGTGGCTCACGCCTGTAATCCTAGCTACTCAGGAGCTAAGATCTGAGGATCACGGTTCAAAGCCAGCCAGGGCAGGAAAGTTCATGAGACTCTTATCTCCAATAAACCACCCAGAAAACCGGAAGTGGCGCTGTGGCTCAAGTAGGAGAGCGCTCGCCTTGAGCTGAAGAGCACAGGGCAGTGCCCAAGCCCAGAGTTCAAGCCCCACGACCGACCAAAAAAAAAAAAAAAAAAATGTATCTTTATAATACTGATATCTATGAGAACTGGCTAAAACTTCGTCAGGTGTTCTTTCAGTAAGTCACACTTACCTGTTTTCTACTTCTACTCCTTGCTTATCCTCATAAAAAATAACCTTAAACCACATATAGTTTAAAATCAAAATTGGATACATTGAATTTGTTTTTCAGGAATTGTGTGATAGCTTTTGAAGTCATTAACTTGAAGTTGATATTATTGATTACTAAACTATAGGCAAAAATTTTAGAATGTACCAGGTACTTGTACCCATAATCGTAGCTACTTAGGAGGCTAAGCTCTAAGGATTACAGTTTGAAGCCAGTCTAAGCTAGAGGTTAAGCATGGCTTGAGTGGTAGAATAGTGCCCACAGTGAGTGAAAAAGTGAAGCAAGAATGTAAAGACCTGGATAAAATTCAAGCCTCAGTACTGACACATTTTTGCTTTCTTTTAAATATCTATGCTTAGTCCAATGAAATATTACTACCTTGACTTTCTTAACTGAATTTAACTTCCTACCCATAACCCAGTTCTTGATAGTATGGGCCTTGATGTTTATGTCCATACATACCATTCAAAGAAAAACTAAGTTAAAGAAAATCTAAACCTAAAAAAGTAAAAAAATCTTATTTTAACCCCAAATAAAATGTGATTTATGCAAAGTGTAATTTGCTTAAAGTTCTATTTTAAGTAGTCAAAATATTTTACTTAAATATACCTTTCTTTAAAAGTTGTGTAGTTTAGTATGCTTCAAATCTTCCCTTTTAGGGTTTTGTTCCCGGGCTCTTTGGAACGTCACATGGTGCCCTTCAGTTTATGGCATATGAATTGCTGAAGGTGAAATACAACCAGCATGTCAACAGATTACCAGAAGCCCAGTTGGTAAGATGAGTGTTGAAGAAATGATATCATTTACTTTTACAGTTAGTAAGAATATTTTTCATGTGCTTGCTTCAGGTAATAATATTGCTGTAGTTGATATAGCATAAGCTAGTGCCATACAAATATTGAAACTAGAACCCCTATAATAGAGGGCTTGTATTAAAGAAGGGGACAGTATTTTTCATGTAAGGACTCATTAAAATTTTTTCATGTAATTTTTACCCCTGCATTTAAAAAAAAAAATGTTGTTGGTTGTAGGGGCTGAACTCTGGGCCTGGGTGCTGTCCCTCAGCTCTTCAGCTCAAGGCTAGTGCCCTACCATTTGAGCCACAGTACCACTTCGGCTTTTTTCTGTTTATGTGGTGCTGAGGAATCAAACCCAGGGCCTCATGCATGCGAGGCAAGCACTCTATCACTGAGCCAACTTCCCAGCCCTACCCCTGCATTTTTGAAGAAATTCTTGTCCAAAGAAAACTGCAAATGTTTTCTGTCATTCTAGAGCACAGCAGAATATATATCTGTTGCAGCATTGTCCAAAATATTTGCTGTGGCAGCAACATATCCATACCAAGTTTTGAGAGCCCGTCTTCAGGATCAACACATGTTTTATAGTGGTGTAATGGATGTAATCACAAAGACATGGAGGTAAGAGCATGCGGAATATCAGAGTTGCTCTGAGGAAGTATTTTGTATGTCTTATATGTCCATTACAGTATTCATTTTATAAAAAAGCCAACTTGCTATGGTAAAAGTGTGGCTGGGGTTCCTCCTTTCCCATTTATTACATATGTGTCCTTGAACTGTATTTCTCCGAGGCTTGATTTCTTCATTTGTAAAATCAGACTATCACAGCTGACAGGTTTTCATAAAAATGAAGCAGGACACATGAAGGTGCTTAGAAAAAAATTTAGGTAGTATAAAGTATTTGAATAGTATTGAATACAGAAGCCACAAACCTAGTTTAACACATTCAAGAAGACCCATACTTGTTACTGATTCCAAAGCTTTTTCAAGTACTTCTCACCTCTATTCATGAAGACATATTTACTTGTTCTTCAGCATGAGAGGAGTTAAACAATTATGGGTCCATTTTATCCTAAAAGTCCTGACGCAAGTATTTAGAGTCTTTATTTTAATATGTACTGTAGAGTTGTATCACATTTATATAACTTATGAGATTTTTAATACCTTCATCTGTTAAAATTCCTGCATTTTCATCCATTAAAATATATGACAGCTGGGAGCTGGTGGCTCATGTCTATAAGTCTAGCTACTGTTTATGATTAATCAGCAAAAAGCTGGAAGTGGAGCTTTAGATCAGGTGGTAAAACACCAGCCTTGAGTAAAAAAGCCACGTGAGAGTGCTCCATCCTGAATTCAAGCCTCAGTATTGACACATATTAAAATCTATATGGTGTATATACTATATGTGATATATATATATATATAGGTGAAAGCACTTTCCAGTTCACTTTTGAGGTGTCAACTACCCTTTTCTGTCAGTTTAGAAAAGAATTGTAAGCCCTCACAAATGACTTATAAACTATAGTGACTCAGAACATTGTAAACATAGACTTAAATCATAGGTTTGACCGCTTACTCCCTGTTTTTTTATCTATTAAGCATGTGCATTTTGTAAGGCTTGCCTTAAGAATTTAAGCTTTTATCTACTTTTTTCCATCTACAGGAAAGAAGGCATTGGTGGATTTTACAAAGGAATTGCTCCCAATTTGATTAGAGTGACTCCAGCCTGCTGTATTACCTTTGTAGTATATGAAAATGTCTCCCATTTTTTACTTGACTTTAGAGGAAACAAAGTAAGCTAAAAGAAAATAATTCCAATTTCTCTGCCCAGATCACAAGTTCCTTTGTGTTTGAGTCATGAAACTGAGAAGAGTGCTGCACAAACAAATAGCTCATAATCAAAATTTATCTATAATCATTAGAAGTCAAAGAACTGCCAAGTCTTCTTAATGTTTCCTGCTTCTTTGCTTCTCCATATATGTGGGACTGGGCTACCTCTAACTGTAATGCCTGCTTCAGCATAATGTTAAAACTGGAACAATGTGTAGAATTTCACAAATTTTACCATTTCATTGTTCCAGTAGAAACTACTTGGCAACATTTGTAAATAAGATTAGATAAATACTTTTTTTCTGAGTTCTTTTGCCTACATAGGCTTTAAAATTGACTTTTGTGCAATAGGAAGAAAGTGGCTTCTTACAAGATTGTCATTATTTAAGGATAAACTGAATAAGGTATTGCTCAAATCCAGACCATTTTGAATGGAGACATTTTAGTGAGATTAAAAACTACTGAAAATTTACTGTAGTTTTAATTTAACCAAAGCACACTATGGAAATTGAAGAAGTTACATACTTCTCTGAGAAATGCCTAACATCTTTCTGCTAATGTTTTCCCCCAGAGGCTCTTCTATAACTTAAAATGTAACCTTGGATCCAGTTCTTTTTTGGTCCTAAGTAGTGTAGTTCAAAGTTATAAAATCTGAATTTCTAGGATCCAGTATGTCAGCCTTTATTTAGCATATATGGTATAAATTACCAGAGATGATAAATAGATCATGTTTCACAGATGCTTGAATGTTTGAGATGTGTTTATTTAAAACATGGAGTAGAAAGCTGGGCGCCAGTGGCTCATACCTATAACCCTACCTACTCAGAATGCTAAGATCTAAGGATTGTACCTCAAAGCCAGCCCAGGCAGGAAAATCTGTGAGACTCTTTTTTTTTTTTTTTGGGTCCGGTCGTGGGCCTGAGTGCTGTCCCTCAGCTCTTCGGCCTAAGGCTAGTACTCTAGCTCTACCACTTGAGCCACAGTGCCACTTCCGGCTTTTTTTTTTTTATTTTCTGCTTATGTGGTGCTGAGGAATTGAACCCAGGGCCTCATGCAAGGCAAGCGCTCTACCACTGAGCCACCTTCCCAGCCCTCTGTGAGACTCTTATCTCCAATTAATCTCGTGTGTGTGTGTGTGTGTGTGTGTGTGTGTGTGTGTACACGTGTACATACATGTGTACGTGTGTGTGTACATGCACACCCTCACACACAGCCAGAAGTAGAGCTGTAGCTCAAGTAGTAGAGCACTACTAAACAAAAAAAGCTCAAGGATAGTGCCAAGGCCCTGAGTTGAAGCCAGGACTGGCAAAGAAAAAAACCCAACAAGGCATAGAAATGAGAAACTTTTAACTTTTTACTTTAATTTTCAGATACATGGATCCAAGTGCCAAATAAGTGATTAATAATACAAATTACATTAGTGGCCACTATTGATTTTATTTGGCCTCATTATAGATATTTATAAGTAGTGTCTATAAGGCTTACTCCCAGAAGGGTGTCAGAAAAATACTGTTTTATTTATCATAAATAACTGAGTGTTTTATTGCACTCCATCTGTTTGTTGTTAATAAAAAATTTTGACCAAAGCCATATTTAAATGGTTCTTTGAAATCTACTTTTTATATTTTAGAACTGGCATTTTTTTAAAAAAATAAAGATGAAATGATAAATACCTAATTCTGTTTACTAAAATATAATATGCATAGGAGTGCTTTATAAATTATGGTGTATTTTTTCATACTTCTAGGTTATGCTATAAGTCATATGAAATTATACTTCTGCCTATATGGAAAGCCAAGGTATAGTTGATACTTGGAGTTTTATGTTACCCCCCCAAAAAAAGAAAAAAAACCCATATGTCCTCTAAGAGAGCATACAAACTTGCATTTAAAAAAAATAGGTATTAAATAACTATAGTTCTTTGTTAAGAGCATGCAAGAAAGTGATTTAAGAGTTCTGAGAAAGAAGAAATCTCATTCAGCAACAGATAGTTACTGAGTCAGGGGAAGAATAATTTTATGGATTGTCAGGTGTTAAGCCTAACCTTCAGAGCATTCTGAAAAATGACTTGGACGGTAAAGGTTGTCCAGTCCAGAAGTAAGGGGGCTAGGCAGGAGGTAGCTTGGACCTAATTTGACAGGGCCTGCGTGATGATTTATAGCTTGGGGGGAATTACAGCAGGGTTTACAAAGCAGAAAACATTTAGCTTGGTCCTTGAAGGAAGAGCCTCTAAAAGGAATCTCGAGAGAACCTATGACAGGTTGAGAGCAGAGGTGGCTTGACTTGAACAGTGAATTGTCAGTGTAGTAAGTAAAAGAACAAGCTGAAAGATTGAGGCCAGAGAAGTCTTGGAACCTTACTAAGCTGCTGTAGCTTTGTTAGGAAAATGAGAAAAAAGTAAATAAAACAAAGAAGCCTACATCTTATGAATGACAGAAAGACCAATCAAATAGGGGGAGCAAACTCACAATTGAAAGCATTATCAATGTGAATATTTCAGTAGGATGAAGTGATGTCACTGATAACTTTAAACCGATTGAAATTAAAGAGGCAGTGGACAGATCACAAGCAGCTAAGGAGATAGGGGAAACTTCCAAGTATTCATTTCACTATTTCTGAAGTTTGGCAGATAAAGAAATAGAACTAGCTTGAAAAAAAAGGGACTGAGAGTCCAAAAAGAGGAAAAAGTGTGAGAGGTTAAGCAAAGAGAAAGCTAAAGACTGAATTCTTGGAAATAAAGGTAGAGCCAACAAACAAAAATAATTTTGTTGTAGCTGTACATCAGAGAACAAGATCTAAGATGATTATGGGTATGAATGAATGAATGCCTTATGAAAGGCAGGTGATTTCCCACTACAATATATGCTTTTGTGGTCTAAAATATTGTAAAATAATGTCTTCTAAAACTGTGTTAGATAGCATGCAGAAAATGTGTGAAATTGGGCTGGGAAGGTGGCTCAGTGGTAGAGTGCTTGCCTTGCATGCCTGAGGCCCTGGGTTCGATTCCTCAGCACCACATAAGCAAAAGAAAAAAGCCAGAGGTGGCGCTGTGGCTCAAGTGGTAAAGTGCTAGCCTAGAGCTGAAGAGCTGAGGGACAGCGCCCAGGCCCAGAGTTCAGGCCCCATGACCAGACCCAAAAAAAAAAAAAAAAAGAAAATGTGTGAAATTTTGAGTTGAAGTCAAATTTCTAAAGGCATAAATAGGAAGTAGGCTGTAAGAAGTACCTGTAATGAATATTTGTTATTCCCTACCTCTTCCTTCTTGAAGTAGCCTATTGCTTCTGGGAAACTACCCTTTCCCTTCATTCCCAGTTTTGTGATTTAGGTGAAATCAGCCTCACCTACCTAGAATTTGGTCCTCATTAGCAGATCTGGTCTCAGTGTACCATCCCTATTGTTAATTACAAATGGTTTGGAATTAGCAGTTATTTAAACTGGCCCAGTCAGACTGACATTTAAAGATGTTTTTTCCTCATCATACTGACAGATTGCTTTGTTATTTCACAAAGATGCATGTAACTCTAGACCTCCTGAAAGCCAGTTTACAATCATGAATTGGGCAAAGCAAGTCTGTCCAAAATGGAGTCAACATCAAAGAAGTAACAAAAAGAAACACAAAGAAACTAGGTTTGAGTCATATGACTGCCATGTTTCTCCTAAGCAGCTTGTTACCTCTTAGTTTTCAATTGAGTGAAGAATAAATTTCCTTTATTTTCAAAAACAATCTGTTAGTTTTTCTTCTGCTCCTAAATACAGTCCTTAAACTCTTTTCACTTTCCTATCAGCTACTGTGACCATTAACAATGGAAATCAATGTCACCTTTACAAAAACTGAGCACTTTGGGGCTATTGAAGTGGCTAGGGGAAAGCTGCTTCACCCCTACAATGTTTTCTGTCCTTAAGAGCCTCTGTAGTATGGATGCATTGGTAGACATTGACCTGGGACACAAATTTCCTCAAAGAGGTCCATCCATATACCATCATGTCTGAAGTTCCTCATCACCAATCTTCCATTCTTTTTCCAAGTTCCTGGCCATGCAGCAAAACCATTAGCAACTGGACATGAATTTGTATAGATCTATACTTCTGACCATCTTCTATCCCATCCTTGTTCCTAAGCAACTTCAGCCATTTTCACTTTTATTTTCATAGCTGCAATCCATTTCAACCTTACTTCCCTTGCATTTTTGACCAACTAAGGATTAGATCAGAAGTTTGGTTGTTTCTTGGGAATACTTAGTTGGAGAAAGGCACTTGTCCCCTTTGGAATATTATCTGTCGATGGACCTGCAATATCCTATAATGCATAAGAGGTTTAAAAAGGTGATGTTGGCCCAGAGTTGGGTCCTGATCAGCAGATCCCATCTTAAGGCACCATCCCTAATCAGCCTAATCAGGCTGACTCTTAAAGATGTTTTTTCCTTAATAGACTGTATCTGCATAAATGATTCCAAAGAGACGGCTCACTCAGGACACAGTTAAATGCTGTACTGGAAAGCTTGACTCAGTGTTCCCATATCTCTGTCCAAATTCCACTAGACATGATGCCTTTCAAATAAAATCTCAAACTCACACATATATAACTTTTAACTTCTTTTTTCTTAGCAGAGGTAGGGAGTGACATTCTTTTTTGGAAGGGAAATTTTAATGGAAACACCCAGCAGTGATTTAAATACAACTGATGAGGGACAGAACTTTTCATCAGCTGAGCTGTGCAATGCACACATGGGAGTTAAGAACCTTAGTTTTTTTAATTTTGACTTAAAGGTGTTTTTTTTAAAACCATGCTTGAACAAAACCACATGCAATAAATCTGAAGGTGAGGTTACTGTACAGTTACTATAATGCATATGCTATGTGTGTGTGTGTGTGTGTATATATAATTTCATAAGGAGAAATTCCTATTCACATAAAGAGTCCACATAAGGAAGAATACATGTTTGGTTCTGTTTACCAATTTTGAAAATAGCAAGGTGGTTTGCTGGCATCCTACAAGTTGACTAATTATGAGCGCAAGCATGTAAACGTTTCATATATTTCAGACCACTACAGTTTATTGATGCCACTGCAAGCTGACTCCTTGGGTCCTTTTGAGTAGTCTTTTGTAGTTGAGTTGTTTTCTAATATGATGGTATTCTGAGCTTATACTATACATTTACTGCCCAAGAGCTAAAAATGACTCGTTTTTTCATGAATCCTTAGTTCCCGTTAGTAAAAATGATACATAGAGATTACAACATGGCATTGCTGGACTATCCATTTTTCCTAGGCCTTTTGAGTGAGCAAAGTTAGAGGATTATGACTTCATTGTGTCTAATTTTAAGATAAAATGACTTTCTGATTCAAGCCCAGAATTTACTTAACTTCATTCATCAGTCTTAAATACCTATCTGCTGGGTTCCAGTGGCTTCCACCTGTCATCCTAGCTACTCAAAGGGCTGAAATCTGAGGATCAAAGTTTAAAGCTAGCCCAGGCAGGAAAGTTTTATCTCCAGTGAACTACTTGGAAAAGGCTGGAAGTGGTGCTGTAACTCAAGTAGTAGAGCACTAGCCTTGAGTACAGAGAGGCTCAGGGACAGTGCCCAGGCCCTGAGTTCAAGCCCTGAGATGAGCAAATCCTGCCTTTCTGATTATCCTGACCAGAAGTGATTGTTCTTACTTTGTTCTACACTTCAACACTTTGATTTCATGTGTATATCTGACCTAAATGGTAAGCAATTTGAGACCCGAATCCATATCTTTTTACTCTTTTTAACTAAAAATAAAATTTTAAATAAAAATAACACAATACCCTTGATACAAACCCATACTATATATGTATTAAAACCCCATACAAATTGTTAAATACAAATTACATTTATGGTTAACCTTTTAGGTAAAAAGTACTAGAAACTCCAGTCTTTGTGGCAGCTAGTTTCAAGATGGTAAAGTTGTTTGAAATAACTTTATTTGACAGGATATAAAACAATTCTAAACATTTACATGAAGACTTATACAAAGACTAGTAACTTATGTTTTTTCAAATGCTATACTAAGAAAATCTAAAGACCACATTGAGAATATGAAAAAAAAAGTATGCATAGTATTTTTACTTGAAGTAAAAATACATAATACTATGCCAGGTGCTGGTGGCTCATAGCTGTAATTCTATCTACTCAGGAGGCTGAGCTCTGAAGACCATGGTTCAAAGCCAACACAGGCAGGAAAATCTGTGATACTGTCTCCAGTGAATCACAGAGCTGAAAGTGGCACTGTGGCACTAGCCTTGAGCAAAAAGGAGCTCAGGAACACTGCCCAAGCCCAGAGTTCAATCCCCAGGACCAGAAAAAAAAAAATACTAATGTTACAACGGTGTAAAAGCACACTTTGGTCTGTAAACATGTACGGCTTTTCATTCAGATGTATACATAAAGTGATTTTTAAATGTCATTTAAATGAACCATTTGACAATGTAAAATTAAAAAAGAGGTAGGGAATGAGAAAGGATTCATTTTGGTAGTTCTTCAATAATGATGCGAGACACTGAATTCCACCCAGTAGAAGCATCTCCTTTTGGATAATCTGAACAAGTGCCAACCCAGATAGCAACATCCACCAATCCAGCACCAATCCCTTCACAGAGTCCTTCCACTGCAAAACAGAGACAACAGTCATTTTCATCAAGTGAGCCAAACCATTCCCTTTGCAATTACTTAAGAAAGCTGTATTATAATTCTGCTTAATGTAAAGCAAATTAAAAAAAAATTTTTTTGGTCATATGGCTTGAACTCTGGGCCTGGGCACTGTCCCCAAGCTCTTCAGCTCAAAGCTAGTGCTCTACCACTTGAGCCTCAGCGCCACTTCGGTTTTTCAGTGGTTTATTAGAGATAAGAGTCACAGATTTTGCTGCCCGGGCTGGCTTTGAACTGCGATCCTCAGATCTCAGCCTCCTGAGTAGCTAGGATTATACGTGTGAGCCACCAGCGCCCGGCTGCAAATTAAAATTTCTAATGCCTGATAAGGGTTTTGTGATATATGTGTGTGTGTGTGTGTGTGTGTGCGCGCGCGCGTGTATAATATACATATATATTGTGTGTATAATATACATATATATGTATATTATACGCACACACACACACACACACATATATATATATATATATTATATATGTCTAAGATAAAAACTTAACTGGTATTTTTTCTTCCAAGTATCAAATGTAAGACCAGAATTTGATTATAGAGTGAGCCTAAACCAAAAAGTAACTTATTTGATTAAAAGAAATCTACAGTTTTTAAATCCAAGATTTAAAATTTGGAAGATGCTGAAAGAAAAGATGTGAACATCTTTTTTTTTTTAAGACAGCCCTTCCTAAAACTTACCTGTACACCTGACACTATTCCAGAAGATAAATGGACTTTTGTAATATTAAGAGAAATTCTAGTATTATCAGCCCCTCAATCTGAAAAACTCATTTTACAAAGTAGTAAATTAAAAAAAAAATCAAGAAACCTTCAATTGTGATGCTGTATAGTTAATGCAGCTTTTAATATATCCTCTGAACTTTCACGTGCTAACAAACAACTTGCATTCCATCTTACCAAAGATCTTTCCTCACATCTATAAAAAAGAAAAGAAAAAACCCTACCGGTTGCCATTAAGCAGGCAAAAAGACAAATTATTTTTTTCTTTTTTTAGGTCTAAGACTGGAACTCAAACTCAATTCCTGACACTTTTGCTCACTGGCTAACACTCTACCAACTAAGAAACAACTCCAACCCCAAGAAAGTTACTTTTAATGTTTGTGTGAAGGAAGAAAAAAACTATAGATCAGCAGTCTTAAAGAACCTGGCACAGCTGGGCGCCAATGGCTCAGCCTGTAATCCTAGCTACTCAAGAGGCTGAGATCTGAGGATCACAATTTGAAGCCAGCCCAGGCAGGAAAGTCTATAAGACTCTTTTCTCCAATAAACTACTCAGAAAAAGCCAGAAGTGGTGCTGTGGCTCAAGTGGTAGAGCACTAGCCTTAAGCACGAAGAGGCTCAGGGACAGTGCCCAGGCCCTAAGTTCAAGTCTCAGTACCAAAAAAAAGAAAAAGAAAACAAGCATAGAAGTAATATGAGACTGGTTAGGTTTCCTATTCGGTTGAGTTCCAGCGAGCCTGGGGTACAAGTCTAAAGCAATTTGCGTTTATTAGCTATGGCATCAGTAAAATCTAGGGCAGTTATGTCAGCATCCAGGGACTGGCACTAGATCAGCCCTCTGCCAAAGCTGGGAGAAATGAGCATTGGACCCATGACTGTTTAATCTAGTCTGCTCACTACGATGTCAGCTGAAAATGCCAGCAGTGCTCATGTTTTCCCAGGGCCTTGACCGTTAAGGCCTGGACATAGATAGACAAGCTTAGGAGAATCAAGGTTTTTGGCCCCATCCAGGGAGATTCAGATGTGCCACTTCTTGAACCTTAACAAACCAAATAACATTTGTTGAACAAATAAACAAAATTTTGACTGTGATAATGTACTATGGCAGTTTGTTAAGCACATAAAACATGTAAGATTAGTTATCAACTTGCTTTTCTCTTAGCCTGCCAGGAAACATACTGCTTTCAAGGTTCATTAACCCTTCATGTCTATCCCAGGTTTAAGCCACCCTCTAATATGGTAACTATTCCTTTCCTTCAAGAAAGAGTGTCAGGACACAAAAGGAAGTGATTTTGTTCCAAAAGTAACCTTTAACTCACTTTACTACAGAAATGTTATTAGAGAATATTTGTGACATTTCATCCAGTGAATCATATCAAATGCATTTCCATACTATGCTTAGAAAATGCTTTGTTAAAAAAACTTATAAAGTGGGCTGGGATGTAGCTCAGTGGCAAAGCGCTTGCCTAGCAAGTGCAACGTCCTGGGTTCAATCCCCAGTACCAAAAAAGAAAGACAAAAAAAAAACTTATAAAGTATATGCATGTAAAGGTCATGCATGGTTCCTGGGGTTAGGGGTTCATTATAGCAAGTTATTAACACATCTTAAAGATAATATCATAAAAGCTTAATTGCTTCTATTAACACTATCAATAAACCTATCACTTCCTAATCTAATTTTATATATTATATCTGGATTTTTTTTTCTGTGGCGCTGGGGATCAAACTCAGAGTCTTACACATCTAGACAAGCATTCTACCTTTGAGATTCATGCCCTTCCCACAGACTTCCCTTATTTTAGAGACTTTTTCAAGTGGAAACCACTACTTTCTCTCTAAGGGCTGGGGAGTTAATTGTTTTGCTTTTAATCTAGTTTAAAAGAGGGAAAGGAAGCAAGAAAGTCCTCATTTCTACTCTCCTGTCTTGGGTAAGATACTGTATTTTTTTTTATTTAGTGTTCTACCACATGAACCACACTGCAGCCTGTTTTTGCCCAATTTATTTTTCAGATGGGGGTCTCATGTTTTTGTCCCACAGCTAGCCTCACACTGTGATCCTCCTACTTCTAGTGCCCTTATAGCTGAGATTACAGGCATGAACCACCATGCTCCAGTCTGGACATTTTAATATCTGCACTATGATTTGATGATAAGGAGTGTTTGTTTTTTTTTAATGTGGAAGCATTGCCTTTGATTTCTTAGGAATAAGGTTGTTTGGCAGTTCTGCGTTTTACTTGGGTCCCTAAAGAATGCTGAAATATTTCTTCTGATTAGCAGTGAAAGATCTCTTCCTCTCAGCCATTAAAAAACACAAGATTACTGAGAAATATTTACAAGAAACCAGAGAAATGAAGCCAGCAATATGTATAGTTTTTATCATTTGTGTTTATGTTGTCATAGTGTGCCACCCACAAAGCCTCACAATATCAAAATGGTCATCAGTGGTATCTAACTCTGGGTGATGAGATTAATAGGTGGGTTGGTTTGTTTATTGGCAGTACTAGAGTTTGAATTTGATCTCATGTTTGCTAGACCGGTGCTCTATTGTTGAACCAACAACACACTCAACTATTTTTGTGCTGTTTATTTCTGAGGTAGAGTCTTGTTTCCTGCCCAAGCATGCACCTGAACCACAATGCCCTGGATCCTAAGCTACTGGTCATATCTAGGATGACAGTGTATGTCACCATATCTAACTTCTTCTGTTGAGATGGAGTCTCTTAAGACTGGAACCACAATCTTCCCATTCTTAGTCTCCTGTATAGCTAACCTTACATGTGTGAGCTGCAGGCACCCAGCTGGGTTTTATTTTTTAAATTCTCTGGGTTTTTTTTTTTAGTGTTTTTAAAACTTTAATGAACCATAAAATAGGACAAATAAGCTATTTTTCCCCAACTGCTTAAAACAATTGTAGTTTTTCAACTAAATTGCCTTTTCTCTTATACTAAGTGGGAAAAAAAGAAGGCAGAAATAATATGGACATTCTTAAATAAATTCAACAGAGAGTATCCATCCTTTTAAAAGACAGGCAGAGGGCTGGGGATATAGCTCAGATAGAGTAGAGTGCTTATTTAGTAGGATGCAAGGTTCTGGGTTTGATCCTCAGCACCTCAAACCAACAAACAATATGCTGCAGCAGTAATAACAGAAACTAAAGGACAGTCAGAGAAACGACTCTATTTCCTCTTCAGTCTATGCTAGTGGTTCCTGACCTTGACTGAACAATGACTGGGAACTATTTTGAAAGTTTCATTGCCTAAACTCATTAAATCAGGCTTCCTGGCAGAATGGCACCCAAACATAGGTTGTTTTGTTTTTTCTTCTGTTTGTTTTGTTTTCAAGTTCCTCAGATGAGCTCATTGTGAAGCCAAGAATCAGAACTAATGATCTCTGGTATTAACAGTTGCTTTACAATTTCATTTAGCTCATCATTGCTTTTCAACTCTGAGACACACTACAATCCCTGTGGATGGGAAGGTGGAGGGACTTTAAAAATACAGATGCATGCTGGGTACCAGACGGTCATACCTGTGATCTTAGCTATTCAGGAGGCTGAGATGTGAGGATAATCGTTTAAAGCCTGCCAGGGCAGGAAAGTCTGTGAGACTCATCTCCATTTAACCAGCAAAAAAGCAGGAAATGGAGCTGTGGCTCAATGGTAGAGTTCTAGAGGAGCACCAAAACTCAGAGACAGTGTCTGGGGCACTCCTGCACGCCCACACGCTCCCTCTCTCTTCCCTCTCTCTCTCTCTCACACACACACACACACACACACACAAATATAGATGCAGCGGTCTTATCCCTAAAGCTTCTAAGTCAGTTGACCAGAGATGGAGTCAAGACATCCCAATCCTTTCAAACAGATTCCTAAGTAATTTATAAGTGCAGCATAGGGCAGAGAATTGTGCACTGCAAACTTACTAGAGGTCCTTTGATAGCAGACTAGTGACCCACAAGGCAGCGACACTAAAAGCTCATCTTAGCCAGATGAGGTAGTCCTCAATGTCACTATTTCACATACCAGAAGAAGTACGATGAATATTAATTGTTGAATTCAGTTCAGGGCTCCCTTGGTCTAAATAAATTATGGCTTCAATGGGAAGAGGCCCTGAGCATTCCGCTCCATTGAATGTGAAATACCAACGCTGACAGCATGCATTTCTGCACTTTAGCCGAAGTGAGCCACTGAACAAAACTCGGAGAGCACTGTTGGAACGCATCTTTGTGAAGGTGCACTCCTACCAAAAGAGAAACATTGGTTAATTTAGCATTTTCATTTCAATTTAAAATAAAGAATTTGAAAGTATATTGTGAATTATACTTAATTACCCTTTTACCCAACATACTTAAAAAACTTAATTTTCACAGAGGAAGAAAGATTTCCTGAAAGAAAGGAAAGAGACTTCGGCTTTTATGAAATGAACCCTAAGTTATCAACCTTTTTCTAGTTAAAAGTCATGTTATCTACAGCTTCATTCCTGAAATCTTGGTTTAAAAGAATGAAAACAGTAAAACCTTGCCTAAAAGTTAACATTTAAATAGGAAGACATTTTACAAGTCGTTTAAACAAGTCGTTTAAATAGGGATACAGGTGGACCCATTGCAACAATGAGAAGTACAAGTCGTTATGTCAAAAATGAACTTTACAACTTTGGGGGGGGGGGGCGGGGAGGATTGGGTGAGGGGCGGGGAGAGGCTGGGAAGGGATGGGAAGGGGAAACAAAGGAGGAGGCTGCAATGCTTGATAAGAAATGTACTCATCATCTTGCCCATGTAATTGTAACCCCTCTGTACAGTATTTTCACAATAAAAAATTATTAAATTTAAAAAATTAAAAAATAAATATGAAGACATTTCAATTTACTTACTGCAATTTTTCCAAGATCTATGCCATAATTCAGAGAACTCCATGAACATTGCTTGTAGTTTGGGGTCCAGGATTCCTCAAAGGTTTCCCTTAGGCATTCTCCCTTTTCTCCTTTGAATCCATCCCGACCTGGGATCCCAGGGGTTCCAGGAATGCCATTGGCCCCAGGGCTCCCATCACGACCTGGTACCCCGGCTGGCCCTTGTAAACACATGCCATTATACTATAGTGCAAAGGGAAGGAGAAAAACAACACAGGTTACTGAGCATTTGAAGACTCAACATGCATTTATTTTGTGTCCTTTGGTGAAGAGCATCTTCAAGCTACACTTCTGTTCTACATATTCTAGAGAAATAATTTAGAAGTTATTTTTAAAACATCGTGATTTCATTCATGTTTTTATTGTACAAACTTCAACTTGTACAAATCAAGGATTAGGAGAAAAGTGTTCATTCATCTGCTCCTTTTTGCTGCTTATTGTAAGCATGTATAATTTTAAAAGAGACGTTTTCCAAATTGCATTCCATGTAATTTACTATTGTTTTATTTTCTTCTACCCTTTTTGAAAAAACTAATTCAACAGGTTTGTTTATTTATTTATTTACTTATTTATTTATTGTAGGTCGTGGGACCCGAACTCTGGGCCTGGGCGCGCTGTCTCTCAGCTCTTTAGCTCAAGGTTAGCGCTCAACTACTTGAGTCACAGCACCACTTCTGGCTTTTTCTGCTTAGGTGGTGCTGAGGAATAGAACCCGGGGCCTGGGTTGCATGCGAGGCAAGCACTCTACCACTGAGCCACCTTCCCAGCCTTAATCTTTCTTTTATTTAGTTTTAATTTTCATTCTGAGACTGAATCCAGAGCATGATAGGGAAGGGCTTCGCCGCTTAAGGCACACCATCTCCTTTCATTTTTATTTCATTTATTTATTTCTGAGGTACTGGGATTTGAACTCAGGGCCTCACATTTGCTAAGCAGGTGCTCTACCTCCACTAGCCACTCCACTAGCCCTTTTCTTGTTGGTTATTTTGAGATGTGGTCTGTTATCATGTCTAGGCACAGTCTAAATTACAGTCCTATTTGTACTTCCCGGCTTCACTGGGTTGAGAAGTAACCCCAAGACTAGCATGAGACAATGACTCTGCACAAATGTAATCATTTCCCAGAATGGACTTTACCCAGAGTGTCCAGATTTGAAGAAGATTACACTAGCAAATCCATGGGCCAGCACACAGAAGCCAACCAGCCAAGGTTTTATCTGTACACACACACACACACACACACACACACACACACACACACACACACACACACACACACACACACTTACTTTCTCCAGTACTGGGAATTGAACCCAGGTCCTCATCCACACTACATGCATAAAGCATAAAACTATACCAACAGTTTACAAAGGTGATATTTTGAGCTCCATTTCAATTTCTGTGCCCATGAATTAGTTCATGTGGAAACAATAGTGTAATTAATTAGACCTTCAAAATCCCAACAGAATCCACTTAAAACTTTTACATTAACATCTCCCCTGTGTGTATAGTCTAATACTAGCAAGAACAAAAACTAAGATTCCTTACATATTAAAATAATTTCCATCCGGGCACCAGTTGCTCATGCCTGTAATCCTAGTTACTCAGGAGGCTGAGATCTGAGGATCATGGTTTGAAGTCAGTCTGGGAAGGAAAAGTCTAAGCCTTTTACCTCAAACTAACCACCAGAAAATGGGAAGTGGCACTGTGGCTCAAGTGGTAGAGTGCTTGCCTTGAGCTGAAGAGCTGAGGGACAGCACCCAGGCCCAGATTTCAAGCCCCACGACCAACATGGTCATGGTTCAAAGCCAGCCTGGACAAGAAAGATAACGAATCTCTTATCCCCAACTAAGCACCAAAAAAGCCAGAAATGGAGCTGAGACCCAAGCTGTAGAGTGCTAATTTGAGCACAAAACCTCAGGGACAGTGCCTGATTCAGGGACAGGCCCTGAGTCCAAGCTCCAGGACTGGTACAAATAAAATAAAATAACTTCCTACTTTATCTCCCTCTCCCCATTGCCATAGCTTGAACTAGGGCTTTGCGCTTGCTTAGCTTTCTTGACTAAGGATGGCTGTCTACCACTTGCCCATGCCTTCAGCCTTGAAAGTTTATCTTTTAGTTTTACTATCTGGAGTCAGGTGTCAATGGCTCATGTCCATAATCCTAGCTACTCTGAGGGCTGAGATGTGAGAATCATGGCTTGACGCCAGCCCAGGAAGCAAAGTCTACAAGACTCATATCCAATAAACTACTCCGAAAAAAAAAAAAAGTGGCACTGTGGCTCAAATAGTAGCCTTGAGCAATAGAAGCTCAGGGATAGTAGGCCCTGAGTTCAAGCCCCAGGATTGGCAAAAAAATAAATAAAATTACTATCTGGGATTGGACATAATCAGATTATAAACCCTAGAAATAACTGTTTAGGAAGGAGGCTAGGTACAATTTGCTTCTCATGATACCAGCTCAATCTCTGTTTTGGTCAAGGAATTTTTATGACTTAGACAATGTCATTTTCCTTATTGTAAGAAAGTGCTATTATTTACCTATCACCAGAGAAGCAGTAATAAAAATACCGTAAAATTACAGAAGTATTGGAGAATATGCCAAAGTACAAACAGTTCGGTTTGGTATATTTTAGATTTTTTAACAATTTCATATGTTTAAAGTGAGAAGAAAGAATAACACATCTTTTGTCATTATTTGATTATTTTTTTACACTATGTTCTCCTCAGATCAAGATGTTACATAGGCTAAGTTTTATTTTCCTATATTATCAGTGGTTGCCAACTGAGACAATGTTGTCCTTTAGAGGATACTTGGCAATGTCTGGAGACATTTAGTCTGACCACAACTGGGTGGAGACATTGCCACCAGTGGCAATCAAGTGGGTAGAGACTTGGGAAGCTGTTGTACAGCCTACAATGCACAGGACAGGCCCCACAACAAAAAAATATCTGGCCCAAAATGTCAATAGTGTCATGGTTAAAATTTACATTCACCTTTTCAGCTAAAAACTGTATTCTGGAGACCACAGAACTTTATTAGACTTGGCTCTGGAATTACTATATGCCTTCATCCACTAGCCCAACACGTTTAACAATCATCAATAAATGTCTGCAAAATGAAGTTATGAGTGGAAGCTTAGACTCCCCCCTCCCGAGCTTCTTTTACTGACCACCAGGGGGCAGAATTTGGTGAACGCTTGAAAGGAAGGCTTTGAAAGGTCTATACAAAGAAGTTGCTTTACAGAATCTGTGAACCTTTTCTTAATGACTGTGTAGGGTTTGTTTGGTTTTTTTTTTTTTTCCTATCACCAAAACCACATCCAATCTACAGGATGCACCTGAGCCTGGCTGCACAGTAAACTTTTCCACGTTGGGCTGGAGTTGTGGGAAACCACAGGTACTGTAATCCATAGAGGAGGGGAAAATTGCTAGTTTTACTAGGAGAAGGGATATTTTGTGTCTCTTAATACATGCTCATAAAATGCAAACTGCACACGAGCCATACTCATTTGGTACAGTTTTAACAATTTAAACACCTAAAATAGAACGGTGGCCCTGAATACACAGTCTGATTTTATGGAACAAAAGTATATACCATTGCACCAAAAAGTACTGTGTGAAATGCAGGGTTCCCCCGCCCCCTGCCCAGTATTTTTGAATCCAGCTTAAAACTAGCTGCCAGGGAGCTTGGCTTATTAGTTTAGAATGGCAGTTTCACAAATTTGACAGTTTTTTTTTGATCAATAAATGCTCCCTGTCTTATACACTGCAATGCCTGTCAACCATATGAAGTTGGCTTGCAAATTGAAGCTCATAATGTGCCAAGGACTACAGTATCTGTGAAAGGCCTCCTCTTCCTTCGGGACAGAGAACCTCTCTGCCCTGCATGGGGTTGTTGACTTTTAGAGGCAAAGAGTTTAATGCAAACAACACACACACACACACACACACACACACACACACACACACACACACACACACAAGATTAGCCCTTCGGAAAGCACTAGGAAAGTGACTTTGTTTGCTCACTTGGAGACTGTGTCTCCTGCAGCTTCACTGCGATGCTTTTAACCTGGCAGCCACGGTGCGAAGACTTGCTTGCGCATCTGGTCCACACAGAACCAACGAAACTGGACCTTGGACAGTTGGTCCCTTCAGTGCGCCTTCCAGACTAAAACCCTTGGAAGCATTCTCGGCCCTAAGGGCGGTCATCAAGGGAGGTAAATTGCAGCCCAGGAAGATGGCCCAACGTGACTCACAGGCTTCAAGTTACAAAGAGCTGGACGGACGCTTTGTGGGAGTTTTCGCTCCTTCGGGCAGACGTGGCCACCAGCTCCAACCAAGGACACGTTGCACGGCCCTGGTCGTGGTCCAAGGGATCGGCAGGCTCAGGGTGCCTCCTCGGTCCGCATTTTAACCTACCCCGCCCCTCGTTTCTACTGTCCTCGTCCTAGCTCCTCTCCACGCTGGGCTCCTCATAGACTGAGACAAAGCCCGGCACGGAGACGCACGTGAGCCGCCGAACACACGGCCCACCGCGCGCGGGCACCAACACAGTCACCAGCAGCAGCTCGACGGCCGCCCAGGGCCGGGCACGCGCCCCCGGCCCCCCGATCCCAAGCAGGCACCCCCAGACTCACCAGGTCCACCACCTCCCTCTGCCGGATCGGCGCCTTCTGCTTCGCTTTGGGCGTCTCGGAGGCGCTCGACGGCGCGGGCAGCTGCAGCACCAGTAGCAAGAGGAGAGGGCCGAGCAGCAGCCGCCGTGGGGAGGCGGCGCGGCCCGGGGGGCGCATGGCTCTGGGAAGTGGGGGACCGGAGGCCGAGGCCGCGGAGGAGACCGCCCGGAGGAGCGAGCCTGGACGCTGGAGCGGTCAGTGTCTGGCCGCGCCGCGCTCCGAGGCCGCCGCGGGCTGCATCAATGCGCCTTTCACGCGCGCCCCCTGGAGACCCGGGGTTTCCATCGCGTAATAGGCCGGAGCCCCCACCCCTGAGCCCGCGGCGGGAGGGACCCGAGCCCGGCCCGCCCTCCAGCCGTCGCAGCTCCGCCCTCCGGGACCCTCCGGGCGGGGTGCGGAGGGGGGGGGAAGGGGTGGGGAAGTGGGGAGGTGGGGGAGCGGCCGGAGGAGAGCGCAGCCGCAGTCTGGCGGGGTGGTTGCCATCTGAAGACCCAGTTGGAGCCTTCGAGGTGAGGCGTGATGATAGCACAGGCCTGCGTGTTGACCTGGGCTGGCTTTGAACCGGATCCTCACTTCTCAGCTTCCCGAGTAACTAAAATTATGGTGTAAGCCTCCTTCCTGCGCCTAGCTCGGTGCTTAATCCTACACCTGGGTGGGTTTTCACCGGAGTTTATTCTACTATCTCTGGGACTTTCTTTCTCATTCACCTGAGGGTGTTTTGTTGTGTTTCTTGGGTCTAATCCCCAGGCCCATTCCACCTGTATAAATTTTCATGACCGGTCTAACTGGAGTTAAGTTAAAATCTTGAATAGATCTTTCCTTTTAACCTAACTGGAGTTAGATTAAAATCCAGAGTAGATCTTTCCTCGGTCTCAGATGAACAAATGAAAGTTATGCAGATTCTAATATCGAAGCCTTAATTTTAGAAGTAAGTCTTGTAACAGCCATAATGACTCGTTTAAGTTCATTTTAAATATATGACACATTAAAGAAAATTTAACATTATTACACTGGTGATATTAATTTGAAGTGACTAATCACATTTAATCAAATTTGTAAAGCTTTTAAATGTTTAGTTAAACCTAGTCACTACCTTTTAGACAAGATAAACTGGGGGAAGTGTAGCATGGGACACAGAAGCTAGGAACTCAGAAACAAATCCTATATTAATGAATAGTTGATTAAAAGCACATACAAAATACCAGAAGCTGATGGCTCAGACCTGTAATGCTAACTATTCAGAAGGCTGAAATCTGAGGATTGTGGTTCAAAGCCAGGTTGGGAAGAAAAGTCCATGAGACTTTTTTAAATCTTCAATTAACCACCAAAACACTGGAATTGGAGCTATGGCCCACTAGAGTGCCAGCCTGGAGGAGAAAAGCAAAGACAGCTCCCAGGCCCTGAGTTCAAGTCCCAGTGCAGTGAGCATGCATGTACATGTAATGTATACTCATGTAAGCACACACCCACACATATACTCACACAAGCACATAAGTATTCTTTTCTTAGGTTTAAGCCTTACATTTCTCTCATAAACTACAACATTTAAAAAGGGGGGAGGTGAGGGTCAACTCTTTCCCCTGACCTTGTCGGTTTATCCAGATCATTATTTTGCTCTGCAAGCTGAGCAAGAATAACTTGAAGACAGCCTACAATATTTCTTATTGTAGACTCTATTACAAGTGGAAACTACATCTTGTATTTATATTACATTTCTATTATTTTGCAACAAATTACCACAAAGGTAGTAGTTTTAACATCATATAAATCTATCATCTCACAATTTTAGTGGGTTAGGAATCCAGACTACATATAAAGCCTAGGCTGACCTGGAACTCAAGATCCTACTGCCTCAGCCTCCCAAGTGCTGGGATTACAGGCAAGTACAAATGTGTGCCACTATAAACTCCTTCCGATTAATTCAAAGCCAATTGATTAGGGATCTTAATTACATCTATAAGATTCCTCCTGCCATGCAATATAAAATAATCATGGAAATGATGTAGATTTTATTCACAGGTTGTCACTCAAGGGAAGTTATATAGGGCTTGTATTTAAGGGACTTTAATATATTTGATTTTTATCCAAAAGTTTCACAAATACAGTATGTTCCAAGAATATAAAATAGAGAAGCTAAAGTGAGAGCGCTGGATTTATATAGACATAGGTTTAATTCTGAGTCAGACACTGAATCAGCATGATGTTGGGCAATGTACTTTAAATCTATTTGAATCTCAAATTTCTCAAATGGAGATAGTGATCGGATCTTCACAGCATGTATGACGATCAGTTGGGAGCATACTGGTTTTGCACAATGCCTGATTCTTAACGAGTACTCAAGACATATTCAGTGTAACTGTTTTTATTACATAAATCAGGAATTCCACATAGAATAAAAATGTCTCTATATAAGCTGCACGCTCTGCTGTCCAATCAGAAAACAGAAACAACTCTGATGAAGCTAGGAATGTGACTCAGTGGTAGAGTTCTTGCCTTACATGCATGAAGTCCTGGGTTCAATTCCTCAGCACCATATAAACAGAAAAAGCCGAAAGTGGCACTGTTAGCTCAAGTGGTAGAGCGTTAGCCTTGAGCTGAAGAGCTGAGGGATGGCACCCAGGCCCAGAGTTCAAGCCCTATGACTGACAAAAAGAAAAAGAAAAAAGAAAGAAAGAAACAACTCTGAGTATTTAAGTAGGTAATTTAGTAGTCCATACAGAATAAAAGCTAAACAGAGAGCAGACAAATTAGCAATGTGTGAACTGCCACCATCTGTAGGTTAGAGATGTTAAGTGTCCAATTAAAGCTGGAACCATGTTGGCCTTGTCCACTGGAATCTGAAATCACAAAAGAGACAGAGCCATCTGCCTTAGAGAAGGAAAATGAGTAATATCTGGCTTCTGTCTTATTCCCTCCCCGATTGGCCAGAGTAGCCTGGGAAACAGCCTGTGGTGATCAGAGCATAGCAAAAGCAGAGAAAATGGATGTGCCAGTGATGCCACCTATCAGTCCTGAAAAGTGGGACTAAACTCTTCCCTCCGCTGTGTCATGGCCTGAAACTCCCACAATGTGGTGGCTTCATCCATATTCTTAAATACCTGGATCAACAGACTGTGGGGATTGGTACTAAATGGTTAATCTGTTTCATATCCTGAGCTGATAGACAACACTCTTGCCAACTCTCTGTGGCAAGAATTTGTATAATCTTTAGAGAATACAAATTGATGGGAAACTTTAGATGCTAAATCATTAGTGGAAGACGACCAAAGCTTCCTGAACTTGCAATTATGGTGAGTGCATTTTGCATGAATTTTTTTTTAATTTCTCTGAATTTATAATACTGGACGTTGACATCTTCTGCAGTGCTTGAGGGCCAATACTGGTCTATTCAGCCTGGAAGAATTATATCTCATTTATTCTGAGTCACTGCATGCTACATGCTTTCAACTTAGATTGTCTTTAATTTCCTGTCAAATTTTCTTCCTTCTTATTAAGTTACCAGAAGCTGTGCCGTTCTTCCCCTTTTCATTATCCCTGTGTATAGAGGTTTATTTTAATCAGCATTCTCTGAACAGACTCTTCATTGTAAGATTCCTCAGAAAAAATAGTTCACCATAGAGATCTGGGATTGCAAATGGTGAAGATTAAAGGCATTCCTGGGCAGTTCAGATGCCTCTTTGCAGCCTGTGTGTTGTCTCTTTCAAGATACAAAGAACTGCCTGTGGTATAATAAAAGGAAGCCAAAGTAAGCAGGACTTTTGGAATCGCATCCCAAAACATTTAAGTTTACAAAATACATTCACAAATCTCCAGTCCCACCAGTAGAACCGTGGTTTCTTCTTCATTTTCCACCTTACCTGAGTGTTAAAGAGGCAATTGCTTTGTTACTAGAAAGTCAAGACCTGATCATGGAAACTGTAATGCCAATAACAGCAATCTTTCTCATGTGCAAGGTTTTAGTACAGGACAGAGCAAACTAAACATAGTTTCACCTCACCCAAAATTATGTAATACAGAATGGTAAATAGTGACAAAATGGAAATTGACTGGTGACCAGACAGAGAAAGTTTGAGAGATTCAGATGCAAAATAAGAACTAAGTTACTACCTAAAGAAAGCAAGATTAATGAAATGATTCATTGTCAATTATGACACAGATGTTCTCATTGTCAGACTTGCTAATGAAAATTAAATCTAAACAAATTTCTTTCCTCTACTCCTCACAATGATTTGAAAATAACCCTGATGTGGTATTATTACTTTGGCAATACAGTACTATCAGAACTATTATAGACATCCTCTTACTTCCTTTTCCTTCTGAGGCTCTGCTAGATTGGTGATTCTTATTTTTATGGACACCGTCAACCCCCTGATTTATTTACGAGTTCTATAGAAAGCATACTTTGGAATTTTATAGAATGTCCAAAGCTAGAAGAGACAACAGTGTTGAAACTACTTGCACTGAAGCCAGGAAAAGATGAGATGGGTAAGTAAATGGAGAGTGAGTAGGGGAAAGCAGGGCTTCTGTGGAGACTCCCACTGGTTAAATGACAACTACTAAATTGTTATCTCAAGAAAATCACCAGAGATCAAAGAAGAATACATAATAAAAATTCTCCTGCTTAAACAGGTGTAAGCATCCATTGATCCCAGCCACACACAGATTTTTGCCTAAGTTCGTGTGTGAGTGTGTGTTGGTCCTGAGGCTTGAACAGCCTAAGTGCTGTCCCTGGGCTTTGTGCCCAAGGCTAGCACTCTATTACTTCAGCCACAACTCCACACTAAGCTTTGCAGGGAGTGGGGGGAGGAGGGGGGGGAAGGTCTCACAGACTTTCCTGCCCAGGATGACTTAGAACCACCATCCTCAGATCTGAGCCTCCCAAGTAGCTAGGATTACAAGTGTGAGCCACCAGCAACCGGCTTCATCTAGGTTTAAATGCATCTGGTTGAATGCTGACACAAGTGATCTATGACTCTCATATGAAGAGTGATAGGAGATGAAAATATAAAACACCTGGCTTTAATAGGAAATGGTGGGATTCTTATTGTTACTTTCATGTTCAATCTGGTGCCATGTTTGGGTCATATATCCTCTTGGAAGCTCCAGTATGCAACAAATTACATGTTACTATGACCTTTAATGCACCCAGGAGCAAACTCTTAGGAACAGAACCTGTGAGGTGGGGAGGAGAAAGGCAGAACCTGCAAAGAAGAGGTGAGAGGCAGGAGGCATGGATC